CTTGTATTTTGAACAAACATTACGATGTAATCCAATGGACTAGCAAATTTTGAAGTTATCGTTAAAACAGCAAATAAGTCTTTTTCTTTTTGTCAAGGCAAACAAAAATCTCGTCTAAAAAAAGAAAATACACAAAATCTTGAAAGAAATTGAAGAACGTTTCAGGAGCCCGAAATAGAAAAGGAATGTATTTTTTCCTTGAATTTAATGTGTTATTGGATATCATAAAGAATAGATTTAGGGTTTGATGGGTTCTTGAGTAGAAAAATGAAGGTGAATTACATGGAAGTTCTTGGTTCTTGAGTCTAATTATAACTGAGTGCGTTGGTCTGAAAAATAAAAGGTAAGTCGAGTTAGGGTTTGATGTTTTCAGGAGCCAAAAGTAGAAAAGGAAAAATGTCTCCTTGGACTTGATTTAATGTTAGATTTTACAAAGAATAGATTTAGGATTGGATGGGTTCTTGATAGAAAAAATAGATAGCACTCCAAGGATATTTAAAGCGCCATGTAATCATGCACGCATCACATAATTGTAAAGCATAATTACCTGGAATCTTATTATTTTTTTTTTGAAATAATTTTACCTTGAATCTTATATCTCACTGAGCATTTTAATGGAGTCTCTCTTCCATTAAAAATGCCTGTCTTGCCTCGCCAAAATCCACCTCATAAACTTGACTGAAGGCCTGTCTTTCTCATTGCAATCTATCTCCATTTTCAAGTCCTAAATCTTCAATCATTACCATCGGAAGTTCAAACTCTCCTCTATTGCATTGGATTGAGGGATGGTTTCTGCTAGTCCATCAAATGGGCTCTATTTTATCTCAATTACTTTGGACTTGGTGCCAGTGAGACATAAGATGAAGCAATTGACATTTTATCCGAAGCTATAAGTAGAAGGAAAAGCAGTTTCATTTTCTGAGATGGGGGTTTTTTTTACTGGATTAAAGCTTTTGTATGTGATTCTGTTCTTAATGACATAAAGTTTGATTCTATTAGCTTTGTATCTTTTGCTGTTTAGTTTACTTAACTGGCTGAACGCATGATGAGAAGGTAGCCTTTGAAATTCGATGCTAAGATGTAGGAAGTAAGTGTAGCATTATCCTCTCATTAACGTGTGCAAATATTTAGCTATGCTCAAAATATAAAGGTAGGAAGAGAAATTGGAGCACATGCAGTATTTGTTAATAATTGAACTTTAGGAGTCATCTATAGCAAATGAAGGTTTAGAGCTATATGGAGCATCTTCCTTTTTCTCTAAAGAAGAAAGAGAGATTTTTTGGAGTCAATATGACCTGCTTGTTCTGGAAAAAGACTTCAGAGGAAAAACTAGATTCAGTTGCTGATTCTAAATGTCTAATAATTTCTATAATTTCGTGATATCCAAAATGAATATCAAGTTGAGGTGGTTTTCAAACCAAATTATTAAGAATTTAATTTGTTGTGCAAGTCATTGGGCAGTAGTCCTTTCATCTGCTGACATTGCTTTGTTAGGATTGCATATACATCCTGTTGAAATGGCACTGAAATAGTTTCTTTTCTTCTAATCAGTGCATGGTTTGGAATATGGGTTTGGAGCTCATGAATACTCTACCAGTGGTGTGTTTGAAGTGGAGCCAAGAAGTTGTCCTGGCTTCATCTTCAGACGTTCAGTGTTGTTGGGCACCATCAACATGTCTCGATCAGAATTTAGGTTATTCATAGAAAAGCTTTCTAGAAAATACCATGGGAACACATATCATTTGATTGCCAAGAACTGCAACCATTTTACTGATGAAGTTTGCAAGCAGCTAACGGGGAAGCCCATTCCTGGATGGGTAAATCGGATGGCTCGATTAGGTAAGAAGATTATTTGCTTATTATGATTACGTTACTGAGAAGTTTCTTTGAGTTAATGATGTATCCTTAAGATGTCTGGACCTGGTAAATTGCATGTCCATGCTGCATGTTTCTTAATGTCTTATTTTCAGGCATGTCATGAAAACTAGCTATATTATTCCAAAAAAAAAAAAAACACTCGCTACAGATTTTTTTCCCACTTGTTTGAATTCTACTAGCTACATTATATTTTCCTATTATGAAAAGCAGGGTTTGATAGTGTGACAGTGCTTTAGCTTTTCGACCTGCCTGTTCAACTGATTGTTGAGTTTCTTAAAGTTTCAGGTTCGTTTTGTAACTGCCTTCTGCCTGAAAGCATTCAGGTTACAGCTGTTAGGCATCTTCCTAATCATCCTGCATATCTGGTAAGTTCCTTTGGGATCATGTTTCAGTTATCTGTTTGTCTTTGAGCTTCATCAATCCAGGTTTTGCGTACTTTCTTGGTTTCTCTCTTTTAAATGAATTGTCTTACAACGGCTGTCCTTGAGGAAGCACTTTTCCATGTTAATCCTGCTGTTTTGATTACTTAGTTGAAGATTAACATACTTGCCCAAGGATCATACTTACTCGGTGGTTTCGTTGGAGATAATTGAATATTGATAAATTTTTAATGCATTATTGCGGATATTTGAATGGGTGATTACAGGATCTTAGGATAATGGTCTGTTTGGGTCAATTATTGGAAAGAATTCAGTAAAATTGAGGCATCTAAAGCCATTGAATTTTTTCTTATTTCTATCTGGGTTCTTTGGTTATCTGCCTCATGATTCTAGTTGATAATTCTATTTTTTTTTTCTTGGAACTAATATTGTGTCAAATACAGATGATGATGGGTCAGAATCTGTTGCATCGTCTTTTACTGATATGAGTGAAGAAGATGCAGACCATCATCTGCTGACTCCAGTAAACAGTGATGTCGCACTTCTACAAGACAAGCCAGTAAAGTTACCAAGGGAACAAGTGTGAAATTGTCCTCGTAGGTGCCTATTTTTCTCTGTCTTGGGCCTTTGTGTCATTCTTATTTAGTATATGATGTCGTATAGGTGAACATTGCTGCTCTTTGTTACCCATGTGCCGGAGCAATAGCGATGCCCGAGAATTGTCTGTTGACTGTAATTTTTTTACAAAAGAAAATGTAAAATCATGCTTCGGTTTATTTTGTATTCCCATGTAAATGGTTCATAGATTTTAAGATTCATAGCATTAACCTTCAGTAATGAAATGATGGTATATTATGTTGAATTGGAAATGATTTTGTTTGTCTACATTTGATCTTCTTATGGGTCAGAGGTCAAACACAGATGTTTAAGATTTTGGTTAGTCAGTATAAATTTCTGTCAGCTCCTTCTCCAACTTGAGATTTTGATCATGTTTATTTGTTAGCTCGGCATGGGAAAGATATGGACTGAAGAGATGATGCTACTCCTTTGATGTACCTGTAGCATATTAGTCTTGCAGTTTTAACACTGGGCAAATATTTAATATATTAACTTTTATTTTTCCGCAATTTTAGTGTCTCAGAGTTTAATATATTAACTTTTATTTTTCCGCAATTTTAGTGTCTCAGAGTTGTCACGGTAATTTTATGACGTTTTGTAGTAATGTAGTAACTTTGTTTAGCAATTGTTGATATTGTATTCAAGTGAGGCACTAGATTATTGTGGAATTAAAAGGATTCCAAGAAACATTCAACAATATTTTGTAGTAATAGCACCTTGTGTATATCAACAACTCTAACTTGCCATCAAGACTTTGAATCATTCTCCTGTCTCTAATCATAAAATTAAAAAACTTCGGAGACCCAGTTTATCAATTATAGTTCTGATAAAGTCAAATTAGATTAAATTATATTCTATATATTGCATATGAGATAGGCGGCCTGACCAGAGCATCTCTAAATTCTAAGCTCCAAAAAGAGAATAGAGATGGAAATTGAACATTGCTGCCATGAGCATCCACTGATCCTCTCTGAAACGCAATGTGACAACATAGTTTGTGATGGCTGTCTAAAGACTTGTCGGGTCAAACTTATGGGTTGCAACCAGTGCAGTTTTTTCCTTCATAGATCCTGCTCCCAGCTTCCATCAGAGATTAAATGCTTCTTTCATCGATGTTCTCTTACTCTGCAACTAGGTCCCCACGGCAAGGATATTATTAATTTGCTATGGCTGCGGGAAAATTCACAAGGGCTTCTACTACCATTGTCGCCCGTGCCAATTCACTCTCGTGCTGAATGTGCCC